GATCTTCCTTTGAAACTTTGCCCCCCTTTCCATCCAAAGAGTCCCTTTTGAGTACCAACAATATCCTCCTAAAGGCAACCGGGCTCTCCTTGGTCATTACTCTATGACATGCAGCTGAAGCACCAGACTGGCCACCAACTATGGACCATCCCGGATTGGTCATAACTGCATATGGTTGATTGCCTTGACCGGCTACTGTTTCCCTGGGAGTAAGAGCTTCAGGGCAGTTGAATCCTATCAACATACCAATCTCACAATCTTGAATGGGTGGGAGTCTACTGGCAATTGTCTTGAGATGCAGCCATCTCGAGACTGCCTCTGAGGTGGGAATAAGTGACCTCACTGCGGGGATAAGATCCCTGGTGTACAACTTAGGAATGGTGATGACCTTCTCAGAGTGCATCCCTCTAACTGTAATATCCTTAAGTACAGTCTGAGAGTGTAGAATTTGACGTCATTGTTGCCAACTTCAACTGGACTGGTTGACCCTTGAGCTCGAGACTTTCGGCAGTGGTACCCAGAATGAAAGACGAGTCACTTTGTCCAGTAGGGCATAATCACTTTGTCCAGTAGGGCATAAGTGAGAACTTCACGAGTCGGATCCAAAGCTGTAGCGACCCACACAGGTTCCACCATCGATGTGCAGGGAACACTGCTTCTCTCGGTGGCACAGAGGGACACAGCCAAGGTCTGTTCTTTATTCTTTTCTTTGGCAGGGTTCTTCTGTTGTGGCGGTTTGTCATTACAGAGAGAAGTTGGGGGCAATCATTTGCACTTCGCACATGTGGCACGCCTCTTACAGTCCTTGGAGTGGTGACCCCTTCTCAAACATCCAAAACAGAGTCGATTCTCCCGAATGAACTGCTTCTTCTCCTCCATTGATTTGCCATCAAACTTAAGGCACTTATAAAAGGAGTGAGGGACGTCACAAAAAAGCAGGACAAAGTACTCTTTGTTGCATTGTTGGCTGCCTGGGAAGGTGGAGCACCAGAGATGGATGCTGCTGGTTGGCTCAAGGCTTGTGTAGCCTTGACTAGCCTGGGTCGTGTTGTCTCCTTGTCATGCCTTTCCAACGGTTTCAATACAATACGGTTTCAATACGTGATGGGGTTACATGCAACGTCAGCTTCTTCCTCAACAAAGTCGCAAAACTCCTTGAAAGGGGATATTCTTGCCTCTTCAATGAGGTAGTCACTCGGTGATTCCATCTCCTTATTGCTCATTCAGGAAGCTTATTGACCATTTTATTATTCTCCTCACAATCATGAAGGATTTTTAAAACCTTACGTGGGGCATGGCATCCTCACAAGCCCCAAGGAAATCTGAAAAGTCACAGAGTGCCTTTGCATCTCGACCTCCCACCTTGGGCCAGTGAGCTATTTTCTCTCTAAAGGCCTTCTGAATTATGAATGGATCACCATATCTCTTGTTTAACTTTAAGCATGCATCCTGGTAGGCGGCCTCATCTGAGTGCAGAAAGGCACCTTGAATCATTTTTGCTGCTGCTCCAGAAGTGTATTTCCGGAGATAGAATAACTTATCCACAGCTCCAATGTTTCGCCGTGCAATCAGTGCGGTAAAGGCATTTTTCTACTTGGGAAACTGCATTGGGTCCCCACTGAAGGTACTTGGCTCAGGTACTGGCAGTCTCCCCAGGGAACGACTGTTTTGAAAGACCCTCAACATAGTGGTCATGTCACTGCGAGATTCCTTTGATGCATTGGAAGTCACGACATCTGAACTAGAGGTATCGAGGGAAAGGTGAGATGCATCATTTTCTGTCTCGCTATGGGCTCTCTGTTCTAGTTCTTCATCTTCCTAAACCTTAAGTCGAGCGGCAGCGACCCTCACTTCTTTCTCATCTTTCATTCTTTCAAGCCTATCTTCTTCTTCCTTTATTTTTCTTTCAAATTCTTCCTAGATCTGGTTCAGCTTATGATGCTTTGTTTGGAATCGCTGCACGGACTGAAGTTCTGCCTTTCTTGCAGCTAATTCCGCCGCCGCCTCTGTCTTGCTGGAACTACCTGACCAGACGCTTCCATGACACTTCCGAAGACAGATGGATATTTCCCTTTGTCCAGTCCTGAGCGGACGTAGAACAGTGCGGTCTCCGGATTGAATTCCTTGACATCTTCAAGACATTGTCTCACCAGCGCCTCTATGTCTTCTGAAATCTGAGAAGCACAGTCAACTTGACAAAGAATATCTCGGTTCGGTGCTTGAAGTTTTCACAGGTCTTTGTAATTGTGCACGATGACTTGGAGGCAATCCTGAATCTTATGCAGCTGAAGCTCGAGTTCTTCTTTCAGCTACAAACACTTAAGGTGCTCTGTGGCTGACTTAGCTTCTGCCTTCCAGCTGGAATAGGCATTGTTGAATCGTAGTTCCTTGTCTTGCATGGCCTGTTCCAGGTTTGTTTGAGCCTTCTCGGTAGGTTTCCTTTCTTTTCCGCTGTGCCGCAGCCCTTGATCCAAAACAGCACCAGTTTCCTGCTTCTCTGTTTCTATGGTTGACTTACTATAAGAAATTTATTCAACAGGGGAAAGGCAATTATTACACAAGTTAGAAGGTGGTTTGTCAGATACCCGTTTTCCTTATTTCTTAATCAATGAACATGTAATAGCTACACACTTTGACAAAGGGAACAATTTCTACAATGTACCTGTGAGCTTATGTCTTATACTGGCATCCATAAACAAAGAGGCCACTGACTTAGACATAAACTGTGTAGCCTAACTCTATCAGTACAAACAATATTATTCCATATGTCTCAAGAGCAGAAAGGGTCAAACGAACATTTCCGCAACCATATTTCAAGCTTGTTTTACAACACCAAAATTGTCCTTCCAAAGTCCATGAGGGGACAGACCCAGGGTGACTATCCAACTCTCTGTGTAGACCTTGTGAGAAGGGCACTGAAGGGCAGGGACTGACCGCAACCCAGATGCATAAGGGAACTTTATCTCCAGGGAGCGCCAGGGTAGAAACATGCATCCATCGCTGAGGCAATGTTTCCACTATAGGGCACTGAAGCACATGGATTGAGGCTGGTTGATAAATTATGGAATTCGGACGCAAGCTTCTACTGATGTTTGATGCATTGGTGTTATTCAGGCTCCAAATTACCCTGAAAACTACATGTAAAAGATATGAAATACACAAAAATTGTTTAAATCTAAGGACAGCTTATTGTGAGTTAAAAGCACATGCATGGGAATATCTAGAGAAATTAAAAGCCAAAGCTCCCTAGGAATCCAATGAAACAAAAAGCATGACCATGAATACAATCAAAGTTAACATTATAGATCGACAGGTGCTCAAAGTTCATAAAACACTAAAGTCGACAAAAAGGGGAATGAAATCAGCGATGATCGGAAACTATGAAGTAGACATTCACAAAGATTATCTTAAATGCAACACTTGGAAAGCCAATGAAGAAAGCGTTATTCAACATACGAAGGCCAGAAACTTTCTGAATGACGCAGAGTACTAATTAAACCATCAACAAAACACAATTGTAAATATTAGTACAGATCAATATCCTACCGTTTACACCTATTGTCCAGCCTTATAACGCACATATACTCAAAATGGCAGCGCCATGTGCATTGTAAGATCTAAACAAAATAGAAAATAAACCACCTAAAGTCTTACAACATGACACACAGTGCACTACTTAAGTTCAGTGTTTGGGTCAAATACTCACTCAGATGTGGTTTCTTAAAGAACCAAATTCTGCCAGAAATAAACAACTAATATAATACACATCTATATTAAACATAATAAAACAATGAAAGGAGTTTTTTCTTACCATCACGTGGAAAAGTACTGTCAAATATTACATGGAAATCTTGAAACTTTGATGAGGGCTCGGCATGCAGGTAATATGTAGTATTACCCCTACTGGAAATTTTTGAGAGTGTGCCACCGTGGCCAAGAACTTCACCACCACAGGGGAGTTTTACTACATATATTCATAGACCACCTTGAGGACTGTCCAGCTGACCTCTAGCCTCCAATTGATTTATGGGAGGGCAATATTCAGAGTAGATTGGGCCTTCAGTATACATATGGGTGGTGTTTAAAGGGATTTTCTAAACTGCCACTTACATAGGGCTGAGTCAACTCAAATAATTCATTATTTGAATATTTGACCTTCAATTCGATCAGACTGTTGATGAATGAACCATAAACAAAAAATCTGTTGCAATAACTCAGCTTCTCACGTCTAGGAAAGGATTATCTCCAGTCACAATTTAGCAAGATTCAGAGATGAACAATACTTCTTGTCCCATTGAAAATTTCTATTCCTTAAAAATTTTTAATAATTTACTTTAAAATCATTGTAAGATTTCTGTCGCTTTTCGTTTGAATTTGATTGAAACAAGCCTCCATCGTGCAATTTTTCTTATTTAAAACAAACGAAAATTCTCCTTTTCTTTTTTCACGAATTTTACATTCGATTTCAAGTATTCAAATTCGAAAAACAATAGGCCTTTTTAATATTCTAAACCCGATCGAATATCTGGACGTTTGGGCACAGCCCTACCGGAACGTCTAGGATTTTTGTTTTTTCGATAGGCCTATTCATTCTCCGTCATTTCACTGGTAGTTTCATTTAGTCCATGGCTGAACAGGGGTGGGGCGGACTGTTTGAGGGTTATTGCGGGACTCTGACGTACACATTATGTAACTTACCAACGTTGGAAATGACGACATTTGCAAATTGCATCAAGAGGGTATCATGTCATAATACCAGCGGACTACCACAGGATGTCGAACGTATATACATGTAGTAAATGATGTACTATCATGTCTGTGCAGTTGTTGATGTCAGATTTCCCACTGTGTTGTTTCACTTATTTGTTGTACTTGTAGGTTAAGCTATAGATAGGAACATAAACTTATCCTCTCAGACTCAATAATCCTAAGACTAGCCCCATTCTGTAACAAAACTTTATCTGATCTTTACCAAAGAGAGGGCACGCATTACAACTTACAAAGCGATCAATTCCCCCGCGCTCAGGCTCTTGCGACGCTTACACAGAAAATGAGGGCGCCATACAGCACGCGGGTAGTGCCATTGCATTGCAGGGCTATTGTAACTAACAAACGGGCGCAACGAGATACTTTTAGACATAGGGCGTAATTATTTTATATGAAAATGATAGTTCCTTGTTGTCTGTATGGATGCGTAAACGTTACTTGAGACATACACTATAGAATGACGCACAACCTACAGCGCATACTCTACACACGTTTGTAATATGAACATGAAAATTGTCTCAATATGACCCTTACAGCTGTTTTAATTGACACTCAGATCCACAACGTATCTATTGCAGAGTAATAAGACTGGTATCCCCCAGCCCAAAAAGATTTCGAAAAATAACGGAGGGGGAGATTTTTCGTCCCCCTTCCTTCAAAAAACGTCTTAAAGGTCCCAAATTGTAGCTCCCCCCTCCGGTATGACCCCTATGGAATGACCACGCGAACCTGGTTTTTCTGAGCTGCACACGATCTGTTTTCCTTCCTCCATGCGTGGCCGTACGCGTACCATTTCGGTCTCCGACGTTCAGTGCTATACCCAGCAAGAAATGAGACCGAGGGGTACCCCCCCCCAACATGTCCAATCCCGATACACATTCCAGACAATTGTTACTTAACACATCCCCCAAGATGTCTGAAAGGAATTCCCCAGATTCCTGTGAGGCAATGACCAACACAAAGCGGGGGTTCTTTCTGTCTCATACCTTGCTGCATATGTTCTGTGCATGTACAGTGTACATGTACAGTACATGTACAATGTACATGTACACCTGTACATCTACACCTACATGACGGTGAGGGACGGGGATCCCGTTGCTAAGTCAGGTACAAAGGCCAATGACTTTCTGTTGATTGGTAACTAAGGCCCATCAGCAGGTTGACTACATGGGGTGCATGCAGGGGTACCCACAGTACACAACAGGTGGACACATAGAAAATCTGCTGTTTTGCGGGATTTCGCGGATGCGGGAATTTACTGTGACAGTTCTGAAGAGATATTTAGCAACAACCGTCGACTGTCCCAAAATCATTTAGGGATCATCCATAGGGTATTTTATTCATAATTTTTCTTCTGAGGAAAGGTGGAGCTAGAGACGGACGGTGTTAAGCAGACGACAACGTAATCAAGCACCATGGCATTGGATTACACGGTGGATCGCCTTGACACGGCGAGCAGCGAGGTGCGGCAGATCATTCAACAAGAATTCCCAAAGTTTACTTGTGTCTGCGAAATTTGCGATTGTGGGTAAGTGAAAGGGAAACTCTTGTAGTCTGCATTTCTATTGTTAATTGGATATTAGCAAACATTGCCTTTCTGACATTGTGTAAAATAACCCATGCGGTATTATTATTAGCTGTAAGGCGAAATTAAAGTTTCACTCTATTCTTGACTGGTCCACAGTGGTCCAGTGGTTTCACTTTGAATAGTTACCCTTCACTGCAGATCATTCATCTGAAGTTTCTGGTTTGATTAAATTTGAATACACACTGGTGATGTGCTGGCAAGAATCAATGTAAGTTATTGCAAAGAACGTTGAAAGAAAAGAGCAACAATTAGAAAAAGGAAATACTTACTTTGATATAAGACTAAAATAAGTTGTTTTTATTTGCTAGACGACACAAACATCACAAGGACTGTAAACGTAAATATCGAGGAACCAAAGGTAGTGGGGCAGATTGTGCACTAACACATTATCAGCAGTCCTACAAGCAACCGGATGGAATATATCAACGAAGGTTACCCATCATCCCTCCCCCTACACCCAGGGATCCCAACCCCCCACGCATGGATTTCAACACTATCCAGCGTTCAGACTATCAGCAACGGATACAAGCAAAGAAACAACAACCAATTAAATTGGTAATACATGTGCAATGATTAAAAAAAAATTTGAAACAAACTGTAAAACTTGAGAAATACAACTGGTTGTGCATTGCTTTCAAAAAGACTAGTTTAGTATAAAAAAAATGTTATGAAACAAATCCTTTTCTGCACATCGGAAAGCACAATCTCAGGCATTTAATAATTCACATGGGTGGTTTAAAAGAGACTGCACTTGCAAGCTTTGATGCATAAATGGATTCTTGAGTAAAGGATTGGCAAAGCTCCATAGTAACTATATAAAAAGTCCCTAATATGATGTGTACATGGCTTCATTTGAAATTTTGTTCTTATGTGGCCATATCTTTGCAAAGAATGACTAGCCCCCAACTTCAGAGTTGTGTTTTCATGTTATTATGGGAAGAATCGAGGTAGACAGAAGGCATCAGGAACAATTCTAATAAAAGTAATTCACAAGTTTGGAAAACATTTACACCATAAACATGTTTTTGTTTTTCTTTATTTTTCTTGCTATTGAATATTTTTTTATACATTTGTTATTAATTCCTGCTGGTAAGCAATTTCCAGCAATACGTTCTGGCAGTGTAGGCGTATTATCACAGATAGATTTACTTTTCTGTATTTGGTAATGTCCAAATCTAATGTCTAATGTTGTTCATTTATTTCCGTAGTTTTGCATACATACAATCTCAATTTTCAAACACTATATGTATATATAAATGTTCAAATCAACTTTTTAAGAGCTGCAAATTACACCTACACTTGCCATTACTGACATGGTATCTGAATTATTATTCCTGTTTTTCTCATTTAAATTAAAAAAGCTTATTTTGCTATCCAAATTGTTTTGTCTGGTAATGCATGTGTAATTTTTTCTCATATTAGGAGGAAAAAATGGAACGAAGTGATGAACCACTTGAGAACAAGACTTCCTACCGAGTTTCTTACCCTGGACACACATCTTTCCCAGCAATAAAGATGACAAGACCTGCTACACAGGACAGAAAAGGCCTACGGTCAGCCAAGTTTGATAGTCGCACGTCCAACAAGGAACACTACAAACACTGGGTGCCATGCCCAGCTGCTGCCTTTGGTGAACTGCCTTCATTTACAGGTGGGTCATTGATGTAACTTTACAGGTAATTTGGTAACAGAGCACATGACAAACAGTATGACTAAGTACATGTATCTGGAAACCTGCCACAGAGGTTGTCAAACAGGTTGAAGTGAACAGCTACAATTATCATAATCTCATTCTGTGTTGTCTTTTCAGGCTCCATTCTGTACCCAGGACAGAGAATAGGGGAAATTGAATCGGTAACGAGAAATGATTTTCCTGGTAACCGTGCTGAAAAAATAGTTGCTGCAAAGAAGTTGCCTGACAACATTGTCATTGAAGGTATGTCATAGAGTAATGATCCAGCCCAACAAAACTTGTCTTTGATCACCAGCTTATGTTTTGAGGTCCAAAATTTTCCCGATTCTTTTCATCCCTAATCACGTTTCATACACACTGTTAAATTTGTAGGTTACTTTGATCATGTGACAACTAACAGACACACCTACAAAGACATGGGACCACAGGAAAAAACTCAAACAATCAAGTTTGATTCTCAACTTAATCGTGACAAGAGAGCAAAATTTGACGGTAAAACACAGAACATGCGAGATTTCCCTGGTTACCGCAGCCAGCCATTGCCTCAACGCACAGTCACGCCACCACCGGCTACCATCAGGCTCAGCATGGATTCAAGGTAAGAAAAAGCAATGCAATACTGTGAGTTTTGTGCAAGAACCATTAAGATACCATGGGGTCTCTGGACTAACTAGAATGTTCTGTCAAGGTTGGAATTTAACTTTTTATTTCTTTTTAATTTTTGGAAATAGAATTTCAAACATTTAAGTCTGATTTTAAAAATGTAAATCAGCGTATTTGAATTTTTCAGAGTTGCAACAATTCACTAACTTTTGTGAGTTCGGTCACTAGTGGCTCGAGTCGTCATAGTAACAATGACTTGAATCATCAAGTTGTATCAGATCTTAAGCTCGAGTTGAGTCACAAATAATTGAACACAATACAAAGAAAAAAGAGTGCAAGTCATTTTTAGTACTTGAATGTTTTTAAGATGTGGTCACACCATATCTTACTCTTGATGATAATATCACATGACATGAACATAATAAACCACCACTGTAAGTCATTACTTATATTTTTTACAAAAAAGTTTACTTTTATTCTTGAGACTTGAGTCCTTTCACCTTTCGTTCAAGTCGGGTCTTTTGAAGAGGGACTTGAGTCAGGTCATTTATCTGTAGTGACTTGAATCGAGTCATTTACCTGTCAGCAGTCCATTCAAGTCACAAAAATTCCGACTCTGTTATTTTATTTATTTTTAATTTTAAATGATTTATTTTAATTGTTTTTGCTTGTCAAAACACCCAAGCAGTTTGCTAAGATAAACATTGATAGCATAATAGTTGGAACTGCTGAATTTCAGCCATCCACAGCTGTGAAAAACCTGGGAGTGCAGTTTGATTCCCACCTTAATATAATATTATTAACATAACTAATTTCTGTAGGGGTGCATTTTACCATCTGTATAACCTACGTCACATTCGGAAATACTTAAGCCAGACTTGTACTGAAACCTTGGTTCGAGCATTCATTATGTGTAAGGTTGACTATTGTAATGGTTTATTTTATGGATTTCCCGATTCTCAGATATCAAAGCTACAAAAAGTGCAGAATGCTTGCACCAGACTTGTGTGCAACTCTGCCAAATACATTTCCTCTTTGTTGGTTAAATTACACTGGTTGCCTGTTCGACAAAGAATTGCTTTTAAGATACTTTTGATAACATTGAAGGCTTTGCACCAGGTTATATCTCAGAATTACTAACACCTTAATCCCAGTCACATAGGTACAGTCTTCATAGCTCACAGGAGAGGTTGATCCTTAGTCATCCCTATCATAGAACTAAGGCAACTCTTGGAGTCTGCGCATGTATTTGTGCTGCTCCAAGGCTTTGGAACAACCTGCCCTTTCATGTGAGAAATGCTAAATCTGTTGACACATTCAAGATTGCTCTAAAACTCATCTCTTTTATGAAATTTTTCCAACACCTGATTTTCATCTCTGCTAGTGATGGGTATTGTTATGAGCAGTTGAGTATATTTGCATAGTATCTGCACAATATAAATGTTTCTTATTATTGTATTATAATTAGTATTATTAAATATTTTATGACTTACATGTACCATTTCTGGAATCTGACTTTCATGTTTAGTTATCTTATTTCTTAGATTAATCTGCCAATTTGGTAAAAATGCCATTTCAACTATACTTCTATGTGGTTTAATACATCCCAACTGCCGTATTTCATTCATCAATGAAATCCACAACTATACAATTTGCAATTGATTTCCCTTGTAATGCTTTCAATTGTTATTGGAAACAGGATTGATTTTGTCACGGAGCAGAAAGCACAGTTCCCTGGCCATGACATCAGAGAACACCCCAAGCCTGAACTTATGATGAAAGATCCAAAAAACTTCACAGCACCAACTACCAAGTTCACTACAACTACAACCAATAAGGTAAATAGGATATTACAGCCACCACACACCTGCAAGGGGTTTATCCCTCAGCCTTCCCCCACTGCCTAAGATTGGCCCTCATCAGACCCAAAGTGCCTCAGACTTGTAAAAACCTAACAAGTTGAAGAGAAAAAGCCCTTTTGTACTTCATATGTGAACGAAAGCAGGTGTTTTGTTCCTCAAAGGCAACAAATGCTGAGACAACAGATGGTGTTTGGAGATGTATTTTCGCAAACACAAATTCATTGGGTCTTTGCTTGACCACAAAGCACGTGGTTGAAATCCTGTTCACAAGAAGCCTTCATCTTTGTTTGTGGGGGCTGTGCTGAGCACACAGAGGAAATGCAGTCACATGATTTTCAGCAGATATTGGACAGCTTGAACATGCATGGCTGCATCAAGGTAAATGGCTGATGCACGCCTTGAATCATAAAACAACTTTCATGGTGCACCTACATTCCAGGATGGATTCTTAATCAAATTTTGGGGAGGGTAATATTGGTTTGTTTTTTATTGGGGGAGGTTTGGAAATATTTTCATGTAACTTTTATAGCTTTACTAAGGGGTGGGGCTATATTTTAGGGATTTTCAAGTATTTTTTTAAGGAAGGGAAATGAAAATAATAAAGGTAGAGGGTTTGCAGATACACCAAGTGGAAAATATCTCTTTTGAGTATGTGTGGTTCTGAAAAGAACCGGTTACTCGACGTTTCGGGCAGTGAGTGCTCTGTCCGTCTTCAGGACTGATGCAATGCAAGTGTGCAACTGCTTATATGCTGTGGGTGATCACTGAGGCATAGGAATTGGGATTCTAGCTATCCTCGAAATGGGGTATGAAGGCGGGAACTGTGTTGAGAGCTGCTGTGGCTGTTCACTGGCACGTGTCAGTTGGTGTTGGAGTGCTGGAGAGAGTGCCAAGTATAGGAAGCCCATGTGGTACTGAAGGTTGGGAGTCCGTGGGTACGGGGGACCCATTGGACAGGAAGGGGGCGCCAAATATCATTAATGTTGTAGCCGATGTCTTGGGGGACCGTCTTGTTCTTGAAGATTTCAATGGCCTCATAGATACATTGGGGGTGCCGTTGCTTGATGCTGGTGATGAGATGTGCTTCATGCCACTTGATAGCAAGGTCTATTTCATGTTAATGTTTTTAACAATGGATGACTTCTCATAGTCTGTCGTCCATATGCTCAGTGTTTGTTGAGTCTAGTGGTTAGATCCCTGCCTGTCTCTCCGACTCCGGGTGTTGCAATGTCGCAGCATCAAAGAAGTTTCAATCACAGCGGGTCTGGTCCGAAAGAAGTGTTTTTTATTTTAAACGAACAACGGGTGAACCTGACTCAAAATTAATGGGACAGAAGCTTTGATGCCAAGGAAATGCACAAAAGATCCTCATCAAACACCCTGCATGGTCAATGGAAAGAAAATTTAAATAGGCTTTGGAAATTACACCCTTCTAAAGTTCCCTTCCTTCAGTTAACCAATGTCTCACATTCCCCTTTCAAAACAAACTTGCACAACAACCCTCTGTCACATTAAAAATTAAAAGAACATTTTTACAAAATATATCCCCTCCTATCAATTAAAAACCAACCGAAATTCCCAAATTTCAATGGCTTCTTATGCTTCTCAAGCTTAAAAAACCTTTACTTCTGTGCAACATCGGGTGCCTTGAGAAATAGTTTGCACATGACCTTCAAATTTAGTTTGTTGATTTTGTTTTGAATTCCTACAAGCTCATTGCGTTAAAGCCTGATAGGTAAATAGGAAAGGTCCTAATGGCTAAAACAAGACAACTCTTACTTTTTATCCAAATTACAATCGTGGGTGTAGGCATGGGCTTGGTGGGGCATTATGTTAAATGGTTAAGCATTTATCACAGTAATGCTTCTGTTTGCTTTATCTTTCAGTTGACATATAAGCCGATTGATGTTAAGGAGGCCTATAATGCAGCACGAGTCCGCCCTGCAACCAACACAGAACGACAACCAGCAAGGTTTGACGATCAAACCATCAACAAGCGATTCTACAAAGACTGGGGTGTGAAACCACGCATACGTTACGGTGACTTACATGAGGCCAACATCTATGTGCCCCCAATGGGTCAAATGGCTTCACATTCAGAAACCATGGCAAGTTTTCATGGAGAGGCGCTAACTGAACCCACACGCCCCTTTATTCCGGCTAACAAGCAAGTAGAAGAAGCAGGAAAACAGGATTTCCGTACCGTACACAAGGAAACCTACAAAGGACAGCGTAACCCACTGTGTAGGGCACAAGCCTACTTACTGCAACAAGAATTATTGAAGAAGAAAGCAACAAGTAAGCCTAAACAAGCTGTGACAGCAGCGAACTAAACACAAGACAATGACATCATCTTGTAGGTAAAAACCTCTGCAACATCTTGTAAATAAACAAATAGTACTTTTATACACTTTGTTTGTATATTGATGTGGGCTTTCAAACTTTTTAATACATATTTGTGCCTACTCTGCACTTTAATAGCATTAGCCATTCACAACCAACTGCTCTGTATACATTAGTCCAGCGACAGATTTCACAAAGTTAAATGCTGAGATGTGTGGAGAGATGTCAAGCTACAATCCTGGACAAAATTGTTGGGACACTTGGCAATAGCCAAACACTCTCCCAGCCCCTTCCCCCGGTCAATGTTGTCATGTTCATCTGGAGCGCAGACTGTGCCAATAGACACAGGGGGTCTGGGAGCCCACCAAGATTTGTCCAGGATTGCTTGAATTGGTTTATAATTGTGTATGTACATACCATGCCATTCAGGAGGTGTGTTGTGTTGCGTCATTTTGAGAAAACATGGGTTAAAATATGAAGATATAGGATGGCTGCATCATACAATTAAAGAAGGGCATATCATTATTTATTTTTTTGCAATGTAACCACAGCGAAGTGTAATATCGGGGTAGGCAAGTCCTTTGGGAAAAAGACTCTCAAGTCATTTTAAGAAGTGTGATTTCAAGGCATGATGTGTGCACTGTAGAGTATATGTAGAAGTGCATCATATACAGTGCACCAAAGTATTTCACGGAATATCTGTGTAAAATACATTTCTTTTTTTAAACATGAAGTGTCCATTTAGGACTGGACACACCATAGAATCATGTGGGATTTCTGTTTTTTAATTTTTCAATCATTTTGTCGAGAAATGCGACGACAATCCATGAAAATTGTAAAAAAGAGGGGAGAGACTCAAGTTCTTTATTGATGTGTTGTGGCTCACTGTTGGCAGTGTGCCATGTAAGTATAACACGTGCATGCCCTGTTATTTTAGAGCGTGCTATGCACCCTCTTGGGTGAGGATGGAGATTGTTATGCAATCATGACATTGCTTGTGATGTTTTGAGGTTGAATTCAGCACATTTGATGTTCATTTCAAGTTAGTGTTAATTGGAATAAGCCAATGCCAGAATTTTTGTGCACACTCTCAAAGTCATCAGACCCTCCCCTCACACACACAAACAGGCATGCGTAAACTCAGACAATCCTTGACAAAATGTTTAGGATGCCTGGCAATGGACATATGCTCTCCAGCCCTCACTCCCCCGGTCAATGTTGTCATGTCCAGCCAGAGCGCAGACTTTGACTTAGACCCAACATTGAAAGGCGGGGTTTGGGGGGGTTGGAGGCCCAACGAGATTTGTCCAGGATTGTAGGTCTCGAGCATGGTCTTACTACCAACTAGGAGGATGATTATTAATAACGATACTATGAGGTGCTTGCACAGTGTTTTACACTTTGAGAAGTGAAGTGTTTCAAAGTTGTTATGCCAGTTCATTGACACGAGTGCAGCTTGACATCAGCATGACCAATTCTCAATCCTCACCGGTATACCACTAATTGTGGGAGCTAGACACATATTTGGAGCAGTAAATATTTATAGGGAGAAATTCCTCATGGGAAAATTTATTTGACCCTACAGCTCTGTTCTGTATAGAAGAAAATGTCCCTTCGACATGGGACCAACAAGGGCCCATTCATATTCCTTAGTTGAGAGAGGAACAAAATCACCATGGTAACTGTAGATTGCACATACTCTTAATCCCCTAAACTTATTTTCATTACAATTACAGTAAGTCAAAAACTCGAAACCTGTACTGAAGTTACAGTTTTGTGAAATTCAGTGTTTGAGACCAGAGGTAGATGAGCATGTGCCTGCTTGCAATCCTCAGCCATCCTCTGTGAATAATTTCAGATACCCCATCAAAGTGAATGCATATGGTAGGAGACATGACAAGATGCAGGTGACACATGAAAGCTGTTACACTAACACCAATCAGCGTCACCATCTCTGCAGCAGTTTCAGTCAAGAAGTCAATAGGCAACTCAACACCACACACAGGCACAATTAAAGCACATTGTGAAATGGTAATATGACTCACATAAATATGATTTACTTCAGAACAGGGTAGTGATTTGCCAATAGTCAAATCTTGTTAATAACAGGTCCTTCAGACTTGGCATATTGCCTTATTTTAACAGGAACCTTGTATTATCAGGAATGAAAACAATGAAAACAAAGGATCGGGATCTCAAAATGCATGTTATGAGCAGAATCATGTATTAGCAGTTTTCTTATCAATGAGGTCCGACTGTACAATTATGTATACATGTTATGTATATCTGAGTGCTTAAAGAGTAGACACTGACTGTAATATGTACCATCTTGTCAGTGTGTCTTGGACATTGTAATTACATTAATTTAGAAGTCACTCACCCAGTTTATTGAAGAACTGTTTACATCACACATGTATTAAAGAACCTCTCTCATTCTACTACTTCACCAAAAGAATATAAAATCAATAGAAAATAGAATCTTTTCATTTACATGTGACTCCCACAGCAGTCCCCCTGCATTGCCAGATAGATGGCAGACCTACATGTGACTCCCACAACAGGTAGTGATGGATTTATAGCCTTGTATGCTGAGAAAAACTAACATCTTGGTTATAGGAGGATGCCACATGTACATGTATAGAAATAATGATGAATAGGGCAGACAATATGGGACCTGTTATGACAAAATGAGAGTCAAGTTGCATCTCGCTCTTTCCTATTTGACGGTTTAAAGTCATATTGAAGGGAAGGTCAGTTTTGAGGTTTTGTAATATTTGAAAAGAGTAACCCATCTCCTATTAAATTCCATATATTTCCCAGGATCATATACTTAAAAATGTCATTTTCTCAGCAATTTTGACGACAGCATTATTTATGCCAAGTCTGAAATAGTGAAAACATGCCGAGAACAAAGACGCAAAGCTGCCAGAATAATGTCACCTGATACTTTTTCCGCAAGTGTTCCATGTATATGCCACTGGCAAGCTCTTTTCCTGCTGAATTAAAAAATATCAGTATCTCAATTTTTGAAAATTCCTACTTAAAGGTCACATATAGACTTTCTGTGTCACCTTGAGTGTGCCTTTGTAGGCTGTGAATCTGACATTAAAATACTCAATTCGTCATTCAAAACTGAAGCTATTCACAAAACAGACTAGACAAAACACAAAAGTTATTTTAGGCTTTTGAAGTGCTTTATTGTCCAGCATTGAACTTATTATATTTGGCCTGCAGGCAACTACATGTTAACATTTAATTACGAATACAAGATACATGAACAGCATCATCAGTAGGAATTGGTGCAGCAATAACAGGCAGTAATCTTTGAGATTAAATTGTTAATAACAATGTAGATTACAGAAAGTAGTATTCAGCCACAAGCTCCAGTTCACAAAGTACTGGATTCAACTTATTTGATGTTTACTGTAGAGCATGAGCATGAGGACACTGGAGTGTCTAAGAACTCAACATCCCTTCTGCAAACTGTAAAAAATGACTACCATCATTTTTTTTAACGTACAATGAAATAAAGATCATGTAACGAGTTTCTTTTACCATTTTTACATCGTATCAATTTGCTTGGTTTAATATATTTCCAAAAAGCAATGGATCGATGGTTCAAGGAAAACTAAGTTTTTAAAAGCAAATGGTTGTCAAAGCTCTAAGTAACGTAACTGGATTCAATCACACAGAGTTGTTGAGCACTTTAAATGTACATATGTATATGCTCAGCAAAAGTGTGCTTTGCAAGATTAGTGGAGAACCAGTCAGCAGCAATATACAGCACACATTTTAGCTGCTACCCTGTCTTGGCTGAGCCAATACAGTTAGTTCTGAGCAATTCCCTGTGTTTATTTATTTGTGATATTAGCTGGTAATCAGATGGATTTGTGACCATTATTGTTGATCTTTTCAATCCAATCTCACAAGTCCTTGTTACAGCCAGCATACTAACCAATGTGCACAGTCTTCAAAATGCCAATGCCATGAACAAGTACTTGTACTTGTATATATACAGCCTACGGAAAGGGTGAGAATTGTATTGTGTGTTATAACCACTGAGAATATTTATCAAAGAGTTTATCTCAGTCAAAGCTTGTTTATAAGTACCAATTTACATCTGAAACTAAAACTTGCATGAAAGATGCAATAAATATGCTTAACTTTTGTTAACTTATGTAAAAAGCGTGCACATATACATATATTGTGGTTGCAAAATGTAACTACATTTCTCACAAAAAGAGCTTGTAATTTAAACACTATACAGCACATTTGAGTTTGCTTTCCAGAGCCTTATTTACTAGCATACTGTCACATCTTGTGGAAGACAACATCAGTACATATCCAATTCACAGAAAACCCCCCAAATGGCTAAGATAATTAGCAACTGACAAATGGACACAGAATGCGAACAAAATGTAGTGACAATGAAATCTAAGAGGACTGTGGAGTTTTGGCTGTCAGGACAGCAAGTGTCTGTAGTCAACATGCTGCTTTGTGTCACCAATCATTGGCTGATTTCTTCAAGGTAGATTTGATCTTAAAAAGTATAAACTAATGGCAAGATAACTAAGTGTCCAAAACCCAAATCATCCCCAATAGTAAAAAAATCACTTCATTCAAGGGAGGGAATCATACATTTAAATATTTCTGAAACAAAAATAATATCCAATCAGGTTAAAACCGAGTAAAAATAACAAACTTGAGGTTGTATTGATTATCAAAAAGGTTCACAAGTAATATTTACATTCTTGCAATATATACAATAACATGGACAGAACTCAATTAAAATCAAAAGTGAAATTCTTAAAAGTTGGTGGGTTCCTGAAGTAAACGTCAAACAATGTGGATTAGATATGGCCTGGCACACATGAAAGAACGGGGTTGTCACTAACGTGCTCTGCTACATAGCACCTCTGACACATTATGACCAACAATGCTATCAACAAATTTGCTCTCAATTTTAACAAAAGTTTTAAATAGCAAACTGAACTTAGCTTAATTAAGATTAATATTGTAACCAGCATAATTATTTCCAAGGCATAAGCATGATGACATTCAGTGAATTCCTACAAATTCCTAAGAAACCAACAACTATAGGGAACTGCTGAGTAATATATGCAGAAAATGGCTTCACCTGGGCGACACAATGTATGCAGCAGTCATCATGGCCAATTCTGAAACTTCATCTCTATCTTCAGACCCACTCTCCCCTGACTGTGGGGATTCGAGCTCAATACAGGTCTCTAACAATTATAACTCCTCCACATAAACCCTCTGGGGTCACACATAAATCCAAAGTTGAAGTCAAGCTTTCAGAACGGTTCCATAAGTAGTTGAAAAAATGCAACAAATGTGGTTAAATGTCAAATAAAGTTAATCAAATGAGCATAAAACAAGGTGGCAGCAATCGGACGCATTGTCTTGTTAAAACTTACAAACCATTTCTTGTTCTTAAACTTGTACGGGAAAGGTGCCAAACAGTAAGAAAAAAAGGCATGAAAACCCCTAAATGGAAAACCAACCAATATACCCACTTTTGAAGCACTTGTTAAACGGGGGTATATGCACTTTTACATGTTCAAAAGATTCACTTCTGCAAAGCTTATACTAGGCAACCTGCCCTTAATGAAGGCTAGACCAATGTGATTGGAACTGTCTCGACAAACACTCCTACCTCACCGACAATTCTGCAAGATGTGTGGTGCATAAAAAAGGAGCTTAATCATCGAAGTTAACTAAAAAGGCACTGATTTAGTACACATACAGGAGCTTTCCTAGAACTGACTAAACAGTGTAGTGTCAGAATTTTGCTCTGAAATAACTAAGAAATTAACACTGATCATACAAATTAAACCCGGTGTTCAAAACATGATCATCATGCTTCCAAATACTAATATCTTACTAAACGAATCCAACATTTGCTGTAGCTGAATATGCATCTACTGTACATCTTGCTATGCCAACAGTTATTAGTATACCCTGTTTACCTTAATGCACAATATATATACTCTCAGCTATAAATGCCATGATTTGTGAGGAAAGCAAAGCTTGTTGTGTGTTGGTCACAGTCTCCAATATCAAACTATAATCAGTGATATGTACACTATTATTTACAAGGCCACAGGACTGTGGGAAGTGTGCTTGACTAAGCAATTCTACTTTATCCACTGTGCACAAGCCAAGAGCAACCCTCCCTATCTAACTTTAGAATGAATGCAAAGCTGGTTTACAGAATGCAATGAATACACATACATGTTACTAAAGCAATCTCTGTTGGAATAACTGTCTCTTAGTTTGAAACTTTCCCAAACTGCTCATGAATACTCTTGAGCTCTTTCTACATTTTAATTGTACAGCAGCTGCACATTGGGCCTGCTACACACAAGAACTGACTTGTTTCCCATGAATACTGGATTGTTCACCATCTGAGAACAACCTATAAAAATTGGAGGAGCACAAGGTTAGGTAAACACAGAATGCCCTTGTTTCATGCAGATATATATCAAGCATTCATGCTTGAGATATTTCAGTGTTTCTTGCTCAAATATTTAGAGCTTTCAGGATTACTTTGTAAGATTTCTCCTTGAGTTTGAACGAGTATCAAACCCTACAACTAAACGAGTGACTCAGACAGTACTGTGAGAATCAGACGTGAGGATTAACGTTGGCAGCACTGTCCACTACTACATACGGGGTAGTGATTGATCCTGCACCCAGTCCCATGGGGCTGCTAAATAGGAAACTCTAATTAATAATGCCCAACTGAATACCAGTCACAAGTACATGTTATATCAATACCTAAATACAGTTGGGCTGGTGACCAATTTTACCTCAGTAGATTCTGTAGCATTAATATTCGCTGAGTAGAGAAACTAAGTGGTCCCTGATGAGATAACAGTTGTCCTTAAAGTAACAGATAATGAAGTACATTCCAAGAAGGGATAAGGCCTCATCAACTATCATGATGAAGCTTTGAGCATTTTTCCAACTTTGATTCACTTTCCATCTCTGGCTTTAAGAATGAACCACACTTATTGTTGTATCACCCAACTCGGTGGTCATACACTCCCACACTACCACAACACATACATGTGTCTACATGTTGTTTTAGAGATGTGGTAAATCCATTGACATTTATTGAAATTTCAGTTTCTTATCAGTAGTTTTGTGGTTAACATAAATACATCTTGAATACAGACATTTAAATGAATAGAAAAAATTAAGTTTATTTACACCACCTAACTGCAAGTGACAGTTAAGCATGAAGAAGGTAAATTTACGCTTAGCATTTATAAACCTGTACTTTTCATTTCCCTATTCAGCCTCATAGTTGTAAGTATGTTGGTCTGCATTCCCGCTGCAGTATGTTCCCCAACAAGCAAGATGTACATCAATCATTGATACTTGTCTGTCCATCACCGTGTTTAAACATTCAATCAATCCAGTATATACATTATGCAGTACTTTCCAAAGTATCATCTTCATTCCAAACAAGTCTTGCTGAAGGACACTCTCTGTTTTCTACAAAGCACTTTAGTATTTCTAAATAACACAAAGCCAAAATGCGTCAGAGCAAACATTTCAAACATTTGTTTATAAATAAGAAAAAGTAGTTGAAAGGACTGCTTGGCTTCACACATTCTCATCACATACAAGAACATGTCTTTGACATTATTAGTAGTACAACATAGAAAAGATATATGAAATACAAAAAAGTGTTGCAATTCTATTTCAATCACATTTGGGAATCCTCCATAGCAAATGCCAAAGGGTTAGCTGTGACAGTCAATCCTGCACCGTTGGTATCTTGAAGCACTAGAGGATGACTCTGGCTTGTCTTAGCAGGACTAGACTGCGAGGTACCGTTCATCTCTATACCACCTGCTGTCATAGGTTTAAATGTTGACAAGTTAATATGAGATGGCAGCTTGCTACCTACAAGACAATCAGAGTAAAACCAATGACAATCAGCAATGTGTTCAGCTTGGGTGGGGGGTCCAGTTGATGGTGTAGTACCATCCATGCCTTCCATCACAGTGGCTCTGGTATGAATCCCACCCAGGTCAGTGTGTGGCTTTGGGTGTTAGGTCCTTACATGATTCTGTGGGTTTTCTCTAGAAGATCATCACAGTTTTCCTCCCACCTCTAAATCTGGACATTACACTTGTCATTTCAACCAAAGAATCCAAACAGGGCTAATGCAAATCCATACCTGCATGGGCAGCTTGGCGTGCTTGATCCGTGTGACCATGGCGACCTCCATGTCGACTATGCTTCTTACCTACAAATCACAAACCATCTAAATGTATTAACATTGGGGACCAATGTTGCAGGTCAATGACATAGTAATTATTTGCTTTGGTTCAATTCTTGCAAGTCATCTAGACCATTACACAGACAATAATAAACCATTACTGATATGGTATTTTATATACAAGTGAAGACTCCCTCTAGTGGTATCCCATAAACCATAGGTATCTAACGGAATGCATGCGCACAAGTAAGGTACCACCAAAGATATATTTATTTTGAAGTCAAAAGGGTCAATGGTGAAATAAAATTAAAAACCAGATCATACATTCCAAGAGACACAAATCCTCAGTTAAAGAAAAACACAAAGCTAAATGAGTCTTAAGTTTTCAACATTCTTTCAGCTCATTACCTGTTCTAGGATCAGTGACTGTTGAGCCAACGACTTGCATCCCAGAATTCTGAGCGGCTGCTGCTACTGCGCTAGCAAAATCAGCGTCAGTGAAAAAAGAGCCCTCTGAGCTCTCACTGACGCTGCTATGACGACCACTACTAGAGCTGCCATTCATGGAGGACCAGGAACCAAGCATTGCATCTGAGAATTACAAATACAGTAAAATCTTGATAAGTCAAAGCCTGTTAAGTCGAAATTCCATTTACCTCGATGTCTTTCTGTATTCCCGACAAAAGAATAGGCTTTTATGTACAATAACCTATCCATAACTCAAAACGTCAATACCACTAAAGCCGCTTATTTCGAAGTTTTGGTAGGCCAATTAAAAAAAACCACTGAAGAATGATGAATAAAATGTGATGAAAGAACGCTTGCCTTCATTATGAGTCATTACTGTCACGCGCACGACTTTTCTTTGATGAGCCGAGCATGTTCACATGCGCTGCCATTGTCATGTCGACAAGCACTGGGTGGGCATCAACCGCAACCGTGACAAAGGCCATGTCCGAAACAGGCTTCCTCAGCTATGGCTAGGTCTATTGTCTGCGCATCTCCATGCATTTCCAATGGAGTGAATACCAAGACCTAGCTCTAGACATGAGATTCGGATGCAGCCTAAATCAGGTACAAATGATGCGCCCTCAAGTGCTTTGTACATGTATCACATGTATCATGTACCCAGCACGGAAACCCTGACAGACTGGCCCGCGCACTGAGCTATGCGGTAACAGCCCGATCACACAAAGCAAATGAATGAATTCTCAAGACGTAGACACAGGTACCGGTACATAACTTCATTGGTTTACTGTTTATTAATGTACCACATAAAAACATGCTTAATGACGATGTTTGAGGAAAACTTGCACAGTAGGGATAGCCTAAAATCCACTTCGTGTTTGACTCAGCTTGCAGGCCAATTGCCGTAAGCCAGTAAGGTTGCACGTGCACTGAAGCATGTAACTTTCGATAACTCGAACGTCGGATAACTCGAACTTTTCGCCCATTCCCCTGAGCTTCAGCTTATCGAGATTTTACTTTAACAAACAAATCTAACCCATCCAAAAATGTATCCAGGATAGGAAACCATCATTTATGTAACATGTTCTGTACTACAATCTCTTCTTGGCAGCTAGTCAAAAATTGTTGCTTGTTGTTGAGATGGATGTTACTTGGCAACTTTTGTCGATTTGTAATTATGCCAGAAAGTGAAAACAGCGGAAATGTATGTCATAATACTGGAGAATTGGGATTAATGGCAAAACAAAAATCATGTGCATGGGCCTTATCCTTGCAAGTAATCATTTCAAATTCCAGGGTTCTTATCAAATAAGAGAGAATAGTGTAACTCTGAAGCATAATGTTTTCCAAGACTGTTATTTAACTACATAGCGTGGCACAACCTGTCAAGCAAAGAATGCATGTGTATGTGTCCCATGCAAGCTTACCTGTACAGGATCCAGCACAATCTGTGTCATCTTCTGTCTGTGACAGGTGTGGTATCTGGCTACCACTGGGCATGTAACCAACAGGATTATGGTGCAGACCTGCAGGAACACACATGTCATATGAATGGGAAATTTGACATATACTCATCTAATGCAAGTGCAGCTTCTGTAATGAATTGAAACCCAAGAGGCACTGGGAAAAATCGAACATAGAATGAGTGAATAATATACATATTTCACGGAATTACACCTAATTTGTCTAAGACTAGTGTTTTGGTCTTGGATATTACACACACATATAATTTCACCAGTTTAGAAAGGTAATTTTCAGTCTATAAAGTCAGTATGACATAACTTATGATGGTTAAGTATCATTCTTATCCCAAAATAATTGCATGCAACACCCACTGCTTATCTGACCCTAACCAGCAAGCATACCCAGGCAAGCTGAGTGGTCAGGTGGTAAGAAGGGTGTGCCAGTGAGCAGGAGGTTCAGGGTTCAAGTCCCATGCAAGCAAACTTGTGAATTTGTTCTTAAGCCTTTGATCAACACAACGGACAGTGTCGGCTGAAGGAAACCAATGTTAAAATCTTCTGATGAATTTATTGTAAGTATGTATCTCTTCAAAGTACTTTCATGAAGAAATTGATTCACTCTGTTCCATTTAGGAAATGCTCTGAGTACACAGCACTGTACATCTAACGAAGTGTGGCCACAAGGTTCTCAAAGATTATTCTTCAAATTCTACAAGTCTTTGAAATAATGCCCTCGGCATGCATTTATGTAAACGTTCTCCACTGTACAAACATAGGGAGATGAAAGTGATTAGCGATATAATGAACTGGGGACTATACCTTGGTCTACATGTGAGGTTGATGTGGGCAACATACCAGTCAAGTCCTCATTATCCGATAGTATCTCACTCTGTGACATATCATCATTAAACTCCAACAACTCCTTGCCAAGTTGCTCATGCCTAGGATCCTCAAAGAGCCGCTTGGAAGCTAGGTAAGGCACCCCCCGTTGTGAGTGATCAGGATCTGAGGGCCTGTCAGACACTTCACTATGGGGCTGCTGCCTTCGGTCTACAGGGGTACTACTCCTATTGCTGTTTAAAGTTTTAGGTAATGAGTTTGTGGGTGGTTGTCTATGTGATGGCACTGTCTGTTGCCTATCACTAGCACTGACTGGGGGAGAGGAACAACACTGTCTCAGTGGTGGAGGTGGTGCTTTCTTTTTACTACGTTCCATATCCTGACAATACTTTGCTTGCTCCATATGTAGATTGGTGGGTGCATGAGAGCAAGTTGGGGCAGGACAGGTTATTTCTGTGGGTGAATCGATGTCTGTAGGAGGTTGTTCTGGGGGAGGGGGTAGTAACTCTGTCCAGTTGCGTGCTGGTTGGTTGGAACCACCTCTGTGGCGTTTCTTTCTGCTGACACGATCTCCTGCAAGATGTGAGCAAAAAGATCATACATAATTCAGGACACAGTGACAACACAAATTCAGAGAATGCTTGCCATGCTGTGGGGATGCATCTGACAGTCAGAATGAGTTAGAAACACTTTTTCAAAGGCTTGGCAAGTAGTGAGAAATACCTAGGAGCACACTATGTAGCTAGTAGGCACAGAAGCTCATTAATGCAGTATTTTTGCAATGAAAAATTGATAAAAACACCATCTTTTCATTCTAGAAGTCATAACTTCGCAAAAAAGTGGACCAACTATACAATCAAACTCAGACGAAAATGCCAAAAGCAGTGTTGTATTTGCGTCCATCACAAGTCCGCGTAAATCCATCACAAGTCCCTGTAAGTCCATTACAAGTCACCCAGTCTTAAGCCAAATCACAAGTTATTACAATGAGTTGTGACAAAAGCATTCTTTTGTCATTGTTCACCCTGTTACTTATGACTGG